AATTTTCGGGGCATGCCTGGGCATTCGAGAGCAGATTTTCCTCGTTTTGTCATCATCCAAAGTTTTGATGCGGCAAGTGCAGAATTTATGCAGCCCCTAGACCATCTCCGCTTTGGGGGAAAACTCCTTGACATCCTCTTTGGGTGAAACTTGTGCGCAATTACATGAGCATTTTGTGGCTGCACATATGAAATATGCATGCAATTTTGAATTTGCCATTCATTTAAATGTTTTCTTGATTACATTTTACGCCAGCGAGCCAAGGCCATGGCAGGATATCTTGGGCGAAATTCCGCACCACCAACACACAACACAAAAACAGGACCTTCAAAGGCTCAAACATTTTCATTGTCTCTCTGTTTATGTATTCTTGTGTGCAAGGGCTGTGGTTAAATTCTTAAGATACGTTTAAATGAGCAGAAATGCCTTGAGGTTGAAAACTGAAAGGACCAAAAGCTGCCCAAGAATTGGGTAGAAAATGTATGCTAGGATCTCAGTGAACTTTATGTTACTTCGGGATGAACAAAAATTATAATAAGAGTATATATATGAATAATTTAAAAAATGAGTAAAGAATGGGGTGATTTTTAGAAACCATTCATTTGAAATTTACATTTTCAATTCCTCTTCATGAACTTACACAGAACATTCATAAAGTATTTATAAAATTTTACTCATTTAAACTTAGTTTCCCGTAAATAACGAACTAGTATCCCTTTCAATCTTTAAGGTATTAACCATTATTCAACATTATTTCTATCTATTGGTCTGTGGGATTGTTGCTAAAATATTCAACTGTTGCCCAAACTGTAATTACATTTGTTGCAACATACCTGCACATTCAATGCCATTCCTTGTCCCCGACAAAAACCTGTCAGTCAATCAATCAATTGTTCTTCACTTACTCGTTTAGACTTTCCTTCGGTTTCTTTAAGCATTTTCTTTTTTTTTTGTATATTTTGCTGGGGGAAGTTTTCCGTGTCTGGGGAAAAGTTTGCCGTCAGCAAAGCAGCCAGCGACAACCCTGAAGCTAGAGGCTAAAGAAAATTGAAAGTTTTGATTTATAATCCGTAAAGTTTTTCACTTGCTTGCAGGGCCTCGACTTTCCGGGCCACCATCTATCTATCTAACGCCATTCAAGTGCATAAATATTTTTTATTCAATAGTAATCTCTGCCCCCTCCTCTGGCAAACTTCGTGACCAGCGCCTGCAATCAGATTAAAAGCATTTTCGGTGGCCTAGAGCAGCGGGGTTTTCGAGTGGAGGGCACCCCGGGTCTCATGTCAGCGGGAACCACCCCCATCAGGCCATCAGACCATTATTGGGCAATCAATAAATTCATAATAATTGCCGATGGCAACGGGTATGAAACGAAACTATCCGACAAGTTCCTTGACTTTTCCCATGGCGGATTCATATTTATGGCTCGAAAGTTTCGCTCTTGGCGGCTTCATAAATAGTGTGGTTAGTTTCCGGGGAGGTAGCTTTGGAGGATGGGTGGAATAAGGATGCTTTCCGGAATGATGTGCATCCGTAGTGTGTGTGTCATTCTCGATGCCCAACAGTGTATATTGTGCAGTCGGCCTTTTGGCACTTGACTGGGGAGATGTTCCATGTACCATCGTGTTCGGTTCTGTTCTGATGACTCGAGAGCTTCCAACTGACGTTGGCAGTTTTGCAACACTGGAAAAAATTGGGATCCAGAATGGGTTATATTGCGGCACATTAATTTCAAATTAAAAATGAAGATAATGTGTATAATGAAACATTATAGATCGGCATCTTATTAAAACTCTATTATAATAAAATTTATTTATTTATTTATTCAGTATTACTACTATACATATTTATAATCAAGTTCATTTAAAATGTAATAGTAAAAACTAAAATATATTTTAAAATATTGCTAAATCAACTGATATAATTTTTCCAATGGAAATAGATTTCTGCTTAAGATAAGATTTTATAATATATTTTTTACTTTTTTAAAAAGTATTTATTCCTTTATATACTTCAATATTTTTAAGTGTTTCTTGTGATAAGGCTGTGTTATGCTCGTGTGTCAGGAAATCGATAGTTTTGACATTGTCTGAAGGCTCATTATTTTCCATGTATAATGAGAATCAAGGCGAAAATAGATAAAATTGTGATGGATCAAATTGTACGCAAAATGATGCTTAAAATTTCTTATAGAAAATCATTGATTGATGACACAATTGAATAAGATGTAACCAAATCATATCAATTTTTCGCTATTTTCTTAGCCAGTTTGAAGATGAGACAGCACTTTTCTGTATCGAAGCTTCCGTTGATTGTTTCAGCTGCTTTATGGTACTGGGTCAGCGATAAATCTTCAACACCCGGATTTCACATATGCGTTTCTTTTTTCCGGACCCAAATTTAGATTTATTTCGTTTGGAGAAACAGTTAAGCCGCAGCCAAACTTTTGACATATTTCACACAGGCCGCAAGACAAATGCGATTTTAATGTCAATAAATTTGTTGAACCGAAATCTGCGAGAAATATATTTTTTTTATATTTGTAATAAAATTCAAAAGGTAGGCCATGTTTAGTAGAAACAATTTTACAAAACATTATTTTATTTATTTTTTGCAGTTATCTCGAAACTGCGCAACAAATGTGAGATATAGAGCTGCATGTAAATGTCACTTTAGTTGTTGTTATCGAAGTTTGTGCTGTCACGAGCAGAACGGAAATTTTGAAATTGTTTAGTTGTAGGTCCAGGCAGATAATAAATTATTTTAGCCAAAGGGGTGTCATACTCTTAAAGCTACATTTTAAAAATTTAAATAGAATAACATGAAGCTTTTATGGGGTTTCTTGGGGAGTATGATAATACTACTATGCATTTTATGGATGTGAACAGCAGCATTGGCCCCTACCACATTTGTTGCACGTTTTCATGAGGCTCATCGTTGGAAAATGTGGAGATTTTCCCCACACTTCCCTCTTTGCCATCATAAATCTCCTTGTTTAGTTCTTGTGGTTAAGACCAAACAATGAAATTAAAAACATATTTTCTGCTCATTCTGGTCGGGGATTTAGATTCAATTAAACTGTCAACGGGGCAGGGACTCACAAGGACCACAAACAAGCTCCTTGCTCTCCTGTCGCCATTCACCTGGGAGACTTTCCATGTTGAGCAGAGGGCATTAAATTCGAATTAGCAGGTGAAACCGGGGAGGAGATCTCACATTTCTGCTTGAACTTGGTGAAAAATTGAACTGTAACTCCGAACAAGATTTATATGTATCGATTAAAGAGGGAAGAAGACGACTCCAAAACCACAAAGGTCGGCGACTTTATGGGAGGCCATTGAAGGACAACAAAGTGAAAATTAGGCCGCGAGGATTCTGCAGATGGCGACCGCAATGTCTGTCAATGGAGGGACAACCGAGGACATCCATTTTCAAGGGGATTCCAGAGCAAAGGAAGAAAGGACACCTGTGGCTTTTGACGAGGCAATAAATCAATTTGTTTGACGTCTTGACATTGTGTTTTGTAGAAGGAGAAGGACCAGAAGCAGCGGGATATTTGTCCAACCGAAGTTTACCTAGTTCTTGGTGTTTGACTTGGGAATTCCCTTTGGCCCACATTTGCATTGAGGTTTCTGAAGGAATCACCAAAATATTTAGAGTGGCTTACATTTACATACCAGATTGTAATTGAGAACTTATTGTTAAAGTTCCTTCATGTAAAATACCCCCTGGAACTCCCCTATATAAACCAAAACAGAACCACTGAAAATGAATCCTATTTTCGGTGGAAAGCTGTCAATTTCATTGAACTTTCTCCTCGCTTTTCATTCCCACTCTTTCATTTCGTTTTAGTTAAACGGAAAATCTCCAACCGGATCGTTTATCCCGACCAAAGTCAGACAAAGTTTGACTCGGGAACTTGGCCTCTCTTTGACCCCTTCCACTTTTAAAGCGCTTTAAAGTCATTCCACTTTCTGCGATTTGCGATTTGAATTCGAGTCTCCCGGGGGACAGATCCGGTGCCAATGAATGCCAACAGCAGGCAGGATGAAGTACACACTCCGGCATTAGCCGCTCTCGATTTATGACCCCCACTTGACCATCCTGACCAGTCAGTCTGCATGTGCTCCAAGCTCCTCTGTTCTACATATCCCGATATCCCCGAATCCCCTGAAATGTTTGCTTTTGCGAGTCCTTTGTCCGCAGTTCGCCAGCTGAGTCCTCCTGAACCATCCTCCTCCTGGTCGGCAGTGCATTTCGGCCATGTAATGAGCCGCAGCGGGTCTTGAACTTTGAATAGGCCCCGCTACATCATCTCATCTCCCCCGGTCGATGCAGATTCGGATTCAGATTCAGAATGAGGTCCTGCAATTGACATTTATCGCTGCTGGCTGAGCACCAGACAATGTCGAGGGTTAAGGTGGGCTGGTGGGTGCAGAAGGGGTTAAATGGGTGGGCAGACCCTTTCGGGGAACTTAACAACTCATTAACACGCTCCAGGACAACAATTGCTGTCACTGCCGTTGGCAATTGGAGCTCTTAAAACGCTGTAACTCACTTGTATCGCACAATTATTCGCTCATTTGTTGGATAACGAAAACCGGATGGAGGTAAAAGTACGACCCTCGTCAGTTAAATTTAATTTTAATCGGATGTGGGGATTGGGGCACGTAATACCACAGAGATGCCAGAAGGCTGCCCAATAATCACTCCATTGTCTTCGCCATTCAATTGATTGGGGGCTAAATATTCTGATGGAGAAATAATGGAAAATTTCACTCACTACAGGAGTCACAAACAATAGAACCCCTTCTGTAATACCTTAACTAGCTAAGACCTAGCAGAGCTTATGTTATTAGGGGAAACACAATCGAGTTGCATGGATCCCCTTAAGCTCTTAAAGGGGTCCCTAGAATGACCAGCAAATGCTGCAAACTGAAAACAGCAAATCCCTTAAAGGTCAGGTCGTCATTTCTGCCCCTTGTCAGTCAGTTTCCCACATAGATCCACATGTGCACTTGGTCCTGGCCCAGGACAACCCAATCCGCTCTGACACGACTCCAGTTGGGCTCCACCCCAGAATCCCACTCCATCTCTGGACATCTCCATTCCTACCCCGACAATTTTTGAATAACTAATGAAGGTGCCAGCTAAACGGGAACCTTAGCAGGATGGCAACAATAAAACAATAACCGGCAAAACACCAGGAATGGGCAGAGTATCCTGGCCCAGAATCCTGGCCTGAATATGAAATTCGGATCCGGATTTCATCCGACTGTCGACATTCATCTTGCCAACTGTCTGTCTGGCATTAGGAGCCGAGTGTCCTGTGTCCGCCGTCCAGGACTTATGCATCATTGTCAAAATATTAACAGCTGGCACAGCCAAGGATCCCCCTTTCCCTCCGCCCATGTGAGCCTCTAAGCTGCGAGCTGATTCAGATGATGATGAAAAATATAAATGGAATTCAAGTATTTCGAGACACATTTTGCTTGGCAAACAAACGAATCTGCGACTGGCCAGATGGACGCCGGACAAATGGGTCAAATCCTTTCTGATTCGGACTCGCTTTCGTCCTGAAAGCGTCAAGAAATTTCCCTTCCCTTGACCTCTGATTTGGTCCTGCATCTGGAGTACATAAATCAAAGAGGAGGAAGGTTCCCGACTAAAAAGGATGTTTTCGCATTTGCATGGGCGTGTGGAAAGCTGCTTAGCTAAAGGCATAAATAATATCAGATATTTATAAATAAGCACCTAAGGATTTTTGAATTGAATTAGAATCATTTCCAAGGAAACTCATTAGAAGGGGAGCTTCCTTAGAAAGACAAATCAAGGAGATGTATTCCGACTTCTTCTCCTGATTTAACTTGAGTGCAGTGCCAGTGGCAGGATATCGATTTCCATCAGTGGAGTGCACCAGACAGTAGTTAAAGGGGATTTAGTGGGTGGTTTAAGGGAAACTGGATGACTTTCGTCTGGCTTCTCATGTGAGATGGGCATGGCTGAACAAATTTGCTTTCGAGTAAATTAAAAATAAACAACAAAATCAAATATTAATGTTCTGTAACGATATTCAATCGGATCAGTATCAAAATAGAAAAACGGGGGAAAAGTGCAGAGCAAACAAAGCAATTTAGAAAAATCATTCAGAACTTTGGTTCAGTTTGTTTGTTTTCTGTCTGCGCGTGGAAACAACTGCGAAAAAAGTGTCACTTGTTCACTCTGTCGCAAATGAAGAAACATTCCCCTACCAAAAATTCCTCCAAATAAAGTCGTCTACATTTCACTGCCTTTTCCCTCAACCTTTTTCATTCTCACCATTCTTGTTAGTCTGCTACTCGGCTGGAAATAAAAACCTTTCTGGCATTCAAATGTTATTTTTGGCGCCACATTTGTGGAATTCTACCCACTTCTTCTCTTGGAAACTTCAGGACAAGGAAAACCGTGTGAAATGCGGAAGTATTTGTTGCTTGTTGTCAGTGAATTTGGGAAAGAGAAACCGCAACCTTCAGACTTTTCCCTTTTTTGGGTTTTTCCTTTTTCAGAGTAAGATTACTTGCTCTCAACATCCGGGTTAAATTGCCCCTTTGGCTTTGGAGGCCACTTGAGTGCCTTCCTAATTGATGAAAATACCACATCCCTTGCTGCAGCTCCTAATTTCATTGTTCATTGATGAGAAGCCTGCACCTGCTGAGCTGCAACTCACAGCAAGTATAAACATATATACTTTGGTATCGGACATAATGCGACGATTTCTGGAGCAGAAACCCCAACAATAACTTCGATTACGGAATTTGGGGTCCTAAGTTCGGGCAGCCGCAGATGCAATTAAATGTTAATCGATTGAGTTTGTGTTTTGTGGGCGGAAGGTGGCCTGTGCCACGCCCCCACAACTGCATACGTGAGTGGAATAATAATCAAAAGGGGAGGAGGACATTGACCTTTTGCATCTCAAAGGGACGAAGGGTGTTCCTGAGTCGAAGGCGTAATTAATTGTAAATAATTGTGCATGTGTCACTTGTAATTTATTTATTTGCCAAGGACATCCGCAAAAAGCAGAAGGATAATGAGGAAATAAAGTTTAAATTGATCTTTACTTGGGTCAGATTAAAGTGACCCAACTCATTGGTATGCAGAGCATTCTCGGGAATGGTCAATATTAGGGATATCTTAGTGTGACCCTTATCTAGGGTTTCCTTTTCCTTTTTTATGATGAAGAACTCGTGGGTAGCATATTGCGCATACGTCGCGTTGTCTTCTGAAGTTGTAATTGCCATGTTAGGGAAGAGGTCTCAACTTGTTTCCCGATATTTGCATGTCAAACGCGTGCTAATTTCAAATTACTGCGACACTCCAACTTCGTCTGCTCCCCCTTTACCATCTTACTTTTTTATACCCTGTTTCCACCAGCTCGAACGCATTATTTATGACTTGTACGCTTTCTGCGTCATTTTATAAACATTTTCCAAACATGTTCGCCGACCTCGGAAAAGTTCTCGGAGACTGCAGCAGCATATAAAATGTATAAAAATAAAAAGCAGGCGACTTTATGTTTTATTTATGAGCCACGCACACACAAAAAGTTCGCACGGGACTCCACAATGCGTGTCGCCTTTTAATGTGACCAGATCAAGAGAAGTGGCAGGAGCCAGCAGTTCGGAGAGTAAATACGCTACAAAGTGGTGGGATTAGTATTTATTCTCCAATATGCAGATGCTTCATTATCCCTCAAGTGCCTGCCATATGTTCGCGAAAGGGTCAAGGGTTAAGCGTTGAGCACTGGCTCAAGTTGAGTTCCAAGTTCCCCGAGCAACTTTAGCTAACCGCAAACCACAAATCGCCGTTTAAATATTAACACAGCAATCCACTTAATATGCGAGTTTATGCCATCGAATGATGTAATAAATATAAAAGGAGGAGCCCGCAGACTCTCGGATAAAGATGATGCCCATATGTGGATGCTGTAAATCCTTCTTCAGCTCCATCTGGAAGGTCTGTGGAAATGGGTATGGGGTCTCTCATCCACTTTAGTATATGATGAGTTTTTCCCCGACTGTTTGATGGGTGCACAAGAACACAACAAAAAATAGACCACAAAGAGATACTCCATTAAAGTTACAGGCAGACTTCAATGTATTTTCATATTTTTTTGACTTCACCATAATAAAATATAGCAAATTGTTTTCTAATGTCCTACCTCAATAAGTTTTTTGGAGTTCCATTCTCTTTTACATTTACTCTCTTCGTGTTTGTAATGCCCTCTAATTTGTGACATTGGCTTGGCCAATGAAATTTAAGATTTTTCTTCTTTCTTTCATTTCTGCTCTTCTGGCTTTTTTCTCTGAACTGACAAAATGTGTGTTTCTGGCCTAAATCATCATCAACAACAATATTGTTTTGATTCTATAAGAGTTGAACTCTCCACGCAATTATAAACTCCCACGCATGCGCAGGAAAAACTCTTATACGATGGAGAAAACTCAACGAAAATTGACCCGAATGGAAAACGATTCTCTGCCTATGAAGTTTAGTTTGTTTCGCACCTCGGAGCAAATCAGTGGAACTGAGGAGAGAAAAATACAACTTTACTTACAAAGGAGAGCACATTTAACGTGTCAAAAATAGATAAAAAGTTTTACACCTAAAAAATGTTAAAATTAAATATAAATATTGTTTTTAAAAAATGAAAACGTATTGAATCATTACTTTTTAAGTTACTTAGTCAGCACTAAAAAATGTTTTCATTAAAGAAACAATGGTATAATACAATTTTAAAAAATATTCTCTTGAGGCATTTTAAATGTAATATAATCTAAGTATTAATTTGACAAAGTTCTTACTATTTTTAATTGGAATCTTTATGATTTTGATCTTTAAAAAGATATGCTAGATTTCTTATTCAAAATAATTATCATATGAACAAGTTTTAAAATTATAAAATTAATACTTCCTGTTCTTGTCATAAAATGAGAGACTTTCCTTGTGCTTTAAAATTGTCAATCTGATGATGGCTCGTAGAAAAAGCAATATAAAATTTAAGGAAAATTCAACATGCTTCATAAAAATTTCAAGAGACCAAACAGAGTCTGCCAGCCAGGCTGACACTTATTTTCATCCTGCTGCTGCCATTTTCCCCCCGCATTTCCCAACCCCCCTCTAGTGGATCCAACTTCAGCTACTCTTGGATAGTTGGCGGCAGCTCGTTGCCATAATTTACTCAACTGTTGTCTCAGTTGCATGAAAACTGAATTTAATGCATTCGCCGAGGCACTTTTCAAGTCGGCCATCCTTCTTTTCTGTCTTTCGGTTTCGCGGAGAGTAATTTCCATTGTGGATTTCTAGGAAATGACATCCATAGCGCCATATTCTTCCGCAGCGCAGCTACCTTTTGAATAATTTACATTTTATTCGGTGGGGCATTGTCTGGAGATTTCGTTGTCGTGGCATCAGCTTTCCATCTAGCCATCTATTTATCTTCCTAGTCATCCCATCCACCTACTGTGGTCGAGAGTTCGGGGTAGAGCAAATAAAAGTTAATTGGAAACCCAAGCACTTTTCGCTTTCTAAATCCTCTTACTTCCGAAAAATCGATTTGATTTCATTGGTAAAAAGAGTGTGTTGATTGGTGATTATATTTCATGCAATTTTCACAGCAATTTTGTTAAAACTATTTAACGTTTAGTGATTTTGGGTAATTGTAAATGTGTTTTAATATATTTAAGGATTAAATTTATATCTAAATGTTATTTAACAGGGAATCTGTCATTAAACGTTGCCCGGCTATGCAAATACTGCTAGTTTAAATATTCCCTTTAAATTTGATCAATAACACCTCCGCAAAAAAGCTTCATATAACTTCATCAATGCCGTTCAATCAGGCACGCACGGCAAAAAAGCAAACTGAATTCTTTCGGTGCCAGAAAAAAATTCTATCCATCAATCTTGGCGAAAAAAGTAATAGTATTTCATGATCAGAATGAAGCATGACTGAATTATTTGTTAATGAAACAGGAACTTTATGTATACATTTTAATGTGCTAAAAAATATATATAGGAAATTACATTTTGACAGTAAAGCTGTATTAAACATTAAAATGACAACCTAGGAAATCAATAAAAAATGTTGAATAATTAAATGAGATGAATACGTCAAATGCATCAACGACTATTATATAAAAATATGCATTCGTCATTAATAAGTTGGCAACTAAAATATATTAAAAATGAAATATTATCTGTGCAAATTAAAAATTTTGCATATTGGCTAAAATGCTTTACAGATCTTTTTATGTGTTTAAAACAATTTAAAATGTGCTTTTGGAAAGAAAGAGGCATTGTTATTAATGTAAGGAATTTACCGCTTTATTAAATATATTATATTAAAAAATATTTTTTACGCACTGTATGAAAACAGCTCTTTAAAATGTGACAACGAGCCATGAAAAGGAGCTGTTTAAATTGCTTCTTTGTCACATTTCATAAATAGAACAATTTCATATGAATTATGCGAGAAATTTGCATATTTTTTGTGCTTCCATCTCACATTTGCCATCTCTTTTAAGGTTTGCGAGTATTTTGATGGTTCCGCTGCCATGATGATGGTTCAAGTTGTCCTTATGGCCAATCTATATGCAAGCCTTTTTGCCATCAACATCCTCATCGTTCTGGACCCCTGTCCCTTTCAGACCAGTCTCTTTTATACTATTTTTTTGTTGTATTATTTCTGTTGGACTGCCAACAGTTTGCCATGCGTTTTGACTTTTAGTGCTTTTTATATTTTTTGATAAAGTGTTGCCAATTTAACCGGCAGCCATTTGCAGTCGCCCCATACTCGCACACATAGTCACATACTGAGGCAGCCTTTCTGTTTGATTGCCTTGTGCCCCATTCGGGGGTTTCCCCGTTTTCCGGATCTTCTGCTGCCTCTGCCACCATTTATGGTTTTTATTTTAGTTGAATGCCTGCAGAAGAGGCCACAGGGGCCCAAAAAATGGCTTTGAAGAGCTTTAAATATCCTAAAAAATGAAAAAGCCATCTTTAAGATTTTGAACTATATAAGATTCCCAACTAAATTTTGAACTATATAAGGATAGTCTTCGATATTTGCCTAATTTTCAAGTGATACAAATATTGAGTCATTGAATTTTATTAGGGCAGGTGTATTCTGAGCTAACTACAATGAAAAGATTTTAAAAATATTTATATAAAGCATTAAATATCTGGAAAATACTGATCTTTAATAAATTAATTTTGTTTAAAAATATAAAATATAATATTAAACCATCTATCAAAAATTTTCTGTAAGCTTATCGATTCCCTAAAGACTTTAGAAAAGGGAAATACCTTCAGCAAGAGTATGTATGTATGTATATAAAGAGCTGGCAGAAAATATTGAAGGTCTAGACCGTGTGTCTTTTTCAGTCATGTTTATTGTATGCTTTCCAAAACCTTTTTGCGGCTTTAACCAAATAAAACGGGGTCGTATAACCATCTATTGATTATATGGCCAGAGCCTATAATTGACTGATGCAAGTTCAAAGGAAGGTTCGCCTGAAAGACAGCCTGCGTATAACTCATCGACCTGGCCCATTCCTCCATTTTGAGTAATCTTAATTTGTGTTTTATCATTCGTGAAATTGAAAGCGCCCGAAACAAAGTGGAAACAATGCTTGGACAGGTGTAATTATGCCCAAACTCAGCGGGCTCTGCGTCAATAACTTCAATTAAACTTTCGCTTCAGCATAATTAATTTGGAATAGCAGCGTAGTAGTAACTTGTGCTTACCAGGTAAATCGCTTTAATATGTGAGCCACTTTAAATTTGTGCTGACCTTTCGCCCAGTGACCCCACTCCACAGTTTCCTGAACTTGGCTAAATCAATTTGTACGCTTTTAATTAAATTCAAATCAGCTTTTGAGGGCAGGCTTTTGGGTTTGGGTTTCCTGTTGATTGGAACGTATGATATTTGATTTTAGAAATGAGTATGGGACTAATGAGTTGGTGGCAGGATTTGTCAATGGTAGTTTAGGGTAGTTTGATCAATCAGGAAGTTTTATAATTTTGTAGATGTTTTTATAATTTATAGTAAGTACTTGCATTTCTAATTAATTTATTTAATTGGTAGAGCATATCCATTAGTTGATATTTGTTAGCCTAGTGTTATCATCAAATTCTCAAAAATAAACATTACGCATAAGCGATGAGCAAACAGAACCGAAACTATTTATTTACAATACTCGACTGTTTAACAATTTTCCAAGCAAATCACTTCAGTGGCTCAGCAAATAGATCGCTATTTCTGATGATGGCTGTATGTAAACAAAGCAACTACAGGCAGAAAAAAAAGCCTGGACAAATATCCAGCGAAACGTTGATGCAAATGCAACCCAATCGAAACGTGAGACAAATGCTGCAGAGGGAAAAATGATGCCAAAGGGGGGAAATGAAAAAATAGGAGGTGGAAATTGGAAAGGGGGGGCAGGAGGAGTTTTCCCATCCAGGACGGAAATTGGAAATTTCACACTTGATGATGGCCCACAAATTGGTCAACAGCCGTTGCGTCGCACAAACGCAAACACAAACACAGAGAACAACAGGCTGTCAGCCATTGGCATTAGTTTTCCACCGCCTGCCACTAACTGGACAAAAAGGAAATAAAATTGACTGGTTGTCACATGGCGACTGGATTCTATATCTATACTAAATCGCCAACGGACAATTGGTACAGAAAAAGGTAGCCTGGCATTTCGCGGTTGCCGACTGTGAGACCTTTGGCCAACGGCAGTTCCGACCAGAGAACCCAAAAACCAGAACTCACAATGCCATTTGTTGCTGGCTTTGATTCCCCCAATATGCTTTTCTGATATCTCCGTTTTTGTAGGTATGTGTTTAATAAAACAATTGTTAGCAGTTTAAAGGTTTTCACAATAGTAAAGGTTCCCTGAAAATACAAAGAGATTCTGAAGGACTTATAGTCGTATGTACACTCAGGGAAAAACGCCGTGCGAAAAAGAAGTACAAACAGCCTTGACTTAAGAACGATTTAATGCTGAACTTTTTGAGAACGTTGGTACTGAAAAATTCTTAAATTGAGTACAATTTGGTTCCAAATAAGATCAAGCAGAAAAAATTCTTAAATGAATTACGGAAGTTTTCAAATCAAGATTAAAAATATTTCGTTCAAGACCGAATACAACTTAATAATAGCACAAACATTGTTTGCCACTATTTTTTTTTTAAATAAAAATAAAGATCTGGGTAAAGATTTGGAACAGATAATAACTGGAAACATCCTTATATACTTGCAATTAATTTAATAAAGTACTAAAATTATTTTATTTCTCAAAGGGTGTCAAAATCTTCTTCTTCGATAAGGGGGAAGGTCAGACTATCAAATTGTTTGATTTAAACAAAGTTATATACATTTATGGCTAGCATTTTTAAATGCAAATTTAAAAAGATATTTTTTCATTTTAATAAATGTTAAATTTTAATCGGCTGACCGTAGCTTTTGGATTTCTTGACGTCCTCGTCGTTCTTTTAAAAATCCTAGAACGGTCACACTTGGCTTATAAGCGTCTCAATTGACCCAAGCGTTTTCGCGGCACATACATAAGTGAAACAAAAAGTTATAAAAATGAGTGAAAAAGAATGTGAAGAGGATCCACTATATCAACTTTTAAAAAAGATAGAAATTGAGGAAGTGCATACATTTCTAACAGGTAAGAAAAGCACGCGTTTTTTGGTGCAGTTGTAATTTTTATACATAGCGGTAAAACATTGTATGTATGTTTATATGTGTGTACATGTGTTATTTTTGCAATTCAGAAACGCATCCGTTTTGTTTTATAAATTATAAAATATGCCTTAACTTCAAATGTGTGCAATGTACATAAATAAGTTTGTAATAAGCGGTAATAACATTTCTTAGAAATTCTGTACTGGGTTCTTTCACAAATAACTGTAAGCACGTGTTTCTCGTGTAAAAAGTGCATACGTACAAACAAGTGTATATACATATGTATATAATTTTACCGTCATTCGGCGACTTTTCGTTTACATAAAAAAGAGGAATACAAACGCCGACTAGTGGCTTACTGGTCAACACAGTTATCAAATTTCGTGGAATTCTTCCGGGGGTGTTTGTATTCCTCTTTTTTATGTAAACGAAAAGTCGCCGAATGACGGTAAAATTATATACATATGTATGTACACTTGTTTGTACGTATGAACTTTTTACGCGTGAAACACGTGCTTACAGTTATTTGTGAAAGAACTCAGAACAGAATTTCTAAGATTCTAGAAATGTTATTACCGCTTATTACAAACGTATTTATGTACATTGTACACATTTAAAGTTAAGACATATTTTATAATTTATAAAACAAAAAGGACAGGTATTGAATGTGCGTTTCTGACTCGTAAAAAGTACACACGTACACACATATATACATACACACAATGTTTTACCGCCATTCCGTCTCTTTTAGCTTAGTTGAGACGCCAGCTAATAATATGTATGTTCATAAATTTTAACTCCCTTGTCAATATCATAAATTAAACATATATTTTTACTTACATATTTACATAAATTTAAATATTTATTCGCATCAACTTAGCTGCTAAAGTAAACATCGAGCAGCTAAAATACATGAACGCCGATGACATTAAGGAGGCAGTGCCTCCATTAGGTCTGCGCATAGGGTTTAGACAAAAACTCTTCAGATGGAAGGAGTCTGAGGTACGTTATTAGCCAAATAGTACATGAATAGGGTTTAAAGTATTTTTAATTTGCAGGGTGGAGATGAAGACCGAATTGCGCCACTACCCTCTTTTGTCAAGCCAGACGTCAAGGCTCCCCTAAAGTTCATTTTGAATAAAAGTTTGCACTCCTTACTTAATGAGTCTCGAAAGGGCATGAAGATTTTGGAACACGAAGAGACTCATCTTTGTCTTCCCCAAGTGCTTCGGGACGAACTTATTTCTATTATAATAGAAGAGGCCATGCTCGAACACATTACGATTAGCGTTCCAGATTTCCAAGCCTTGCTAGAGGAAATATGTTTTGTTCTCCCAAGCCAGATAAACGTTAAGGTAAAAACATAATGCTATAAATAATTTGATTTGCTTTTCTAATTTATGTTTGTATAGGATTACTATTTTATACCTCGAATGGGTAGAGGCAATCCTGCAGGAAAACTATATTCAAAATATATGAACCGCCGCAGCCGCATATTAAAACAGAAGAAAAGGTCTGTAGAACTTGTGATCTCCGAAGAAGATGATGCAGACATCTGCAAGGCATACAAGCTCACGCTTAGCCGTACATGTGACGATTGAGAGAGTGTACGTGATATGTGGAAAAAGACATACAAAATACGACAGAAAGACGTCACGGCTCTGAACAACTCTGATTTTTTTAAAGCTTGGAATAAATTTTCCCGTGCAAAGGCGTACGAGCTGGTAAGAAAAAATATATATTTATTTTTATACCCTTGCAGAGGGTATAATAGTGGTTTCCGACCCCATAAAGTATATATATTCTTGATTAGCATCACTAGACGAGTCGATCTAGCCATGTCCGCCTGTCCGTCCGTTTCTAGCAACAATCCTTAAAAATGTAACATGGTGTTACTAACATTGATTATTTCTTATAACTGCAAGGGTATACAAACTTCGGCTTGCCGAAGTTAACTTTTTTTCTTGTGTTTAACATTTTATAAATATTTTTGTTTTTCAAGATTGATATTGATTTCGACCTTATGTATCCTGGAAAAGGTTTTCATTTGCTTTCAAAGTGGCAAGAATTTCGGCAAAAAATAATGTGTTATTACGAAGACAACATCATTAATGAACATTGCAAAGCCCAACTCTTGCTTGTTAAAAACTGCACCAACATAGGTAAGCTTAACATTTCTTGTTATTTAATCTAAGCATAGAAAAGTTTGTATTTATTTTGTGATTCACTGTTTTTATACTAATATTAATCATATTTATACCCGCTTTTTTGACAAAGCGAATACTATACCTTTTATTTGTATTATAAATATATAATATTAAACTATTCTAATATAACAGATGCCCAGGACTTCATAATCGCCACATTGCTGAATGCTGTTTTGCCCTCATCAGCCCGCTTCAAGAATGAAGATGGAAAATTTACAAGGAAAGCTACAATACTGGACGCGCAGGAGAGTTTCGTGCTGAGACTAGTAACTATTAATGACTTAGATATTCAATTGGACCGAGTCATAAACATGTATTACAGTTCGGGTCTTAAATTACATCCTATTATTATTGTAGTTGGTCCTTTCGATTGTGAGATCAACGAATTATTTTTATATTTTGATGGAAATTTAATAAGTGGCCCAAATGTACATATATAAAAGATTATAAGTTGTTTTAGTTATAAGGAAAATATTTTTGTACTATGTAATGAAGTAGGTTTAATTCGATTTGACAAACATTTTTATTCTTATGAAATCGGTTATCCATCCGATACATTTTGCATTTTAAACATTAATGAAATAACTACTCTTCCTTTGCACTTATATACAATAAACAATAGAAAATCGTATCTTAAATTTAAATATATATAGAAACTATAAACCTGTGAAATAAAATTTAAGCCAAATCAATAGCTTCTTAAGCGTATATAGAAAATGTAAAATAAAAATGAAAAATAAAATGAATATCAAAACAATAGCTTCCTAAGCGTATGTAACAACTGTAAAATAAACGTGTACAATAAAATGTAAGACAAAACAATAACTTCCTAAGCGTATAAAAAAATAAAGTTTCTGAAATTGAGTTTTACCATACCTTCTTTTAAGAATGGGGGATCCGGTTTTAAGATCTAACAGTTCTTAGATCTGGCATGATGTGATCTTAATATAATAATTATTCCTGCTTAACTTAAAATGTATATTGTCTTAATTTAAAAATGAAATATTCTTGAACTTAGTATTTTTACTCTAGCTTCAAGAGTATAATTTACTGGGTTTAGTAATGGTTTGTTCTTAAATCAAGCCTAAAATGTTCTTAATTTATTAATAAATCGCACTTATTTCAAGTATATATATGTCTAGACTTAAGAATACTTTATTATTGTTTTGAGAAAGCTCCATACTTGATTTTAATCCTCAGCGTTCTTAAGTCGTACTGAAACCAAGAATTTGCGGACTTGAAAATTCGTGCTTGAAATAAGTATTTTGTTCTTTGGTTCTGTATTTTCCATGCTTGGCGAAGTTTTGACACCGAAAATACTAGGTTCAAGCACGAAATACTTGATTTTTTTTCTGAGTGTATAATTATACCCGTTACTCGTAGAGTAAAAGGGTATACTAGATTCGTCGGAAAGTATGTAACAGGCAGAAGGAAGCGTTTCCGACCCCATAAAGTATATATATTCTTGATCAGGATCACTAGCCGAGTCGATCTAGCCATGTCCGTCTGTCCGTCTGTCCGTCTGTCTGTCCGGATGAACGCTGAGATCTCGGAAACTATGAGAGCTAGGCTATTGAGATTTGGCGTACAGATTCCTGAGCTTCTTACGGAGCGCAAGTTTGTTTCAGTAGACTGCCACGCCCACTCTAACGCCCACAAACCGCCCAAAACTGTAACTCCTACAGTTTTGATGCTAGATAGAAAATTTTAACTGAAATGTATTAGTCTTGTCAATACCTATCGATTGACCCAAACGCCCACTCTAACGCCTACAAACCTCCCAAGAAAAAAAGCTATGACGTCAGATCCAGACAATGCGAAATGTTTTTACGCGTGTATGTGTGTGTATGTAAATAGTTGCCGGCCGAACTTAGCGGCAAAGAAAAAAGCACTGCCGGCGCTCAGAGGAAGCAAAGTGCGCGGCTAACTTATTCTATTGCTTCTTACGCAGCGCAAGTTTGATTCAGCAATGTGCCACGCCCACTCTAACGCCCACAAACCGGCCAAGCCTGTGGCGCACAAAATTTTAACTGAAATGTGTTGTTCTCGTCAATACCTATCGATTGACCCAAAAAAAAGTTTGCCACGCCCACTCTAACGCCCATAACGCTTAAATCTGTCTACCGCCGGCAGGTGGCGCATTTCAATCTCGCTTTCTGCTTGCATATCTCAATTTCCCTTTGGTCCCATTATCTGAGTAACAGGTACAGTTGCGGCAACAAAAATAGCACCAAAGTGTGGGCAATTTTTATTTGTGTACAAAATGGTCATTTTTTGCAATATTTTTCTTCTGTGTGTAAGGGTAAGTAGGTTTACATATCGTTTAACTAAAGTAAAAATGGTTGTGGGCGTAATGCGAATGGTTTTTAAAACTTCGATAGATTTATGAAAAAAGTAGCATAATTATGCGGCAACAAAAATAGCACTATTAACGGTTTTTGGGTATAAAACTTCATTTGCTCAGATTTGTTGGCTGTTTTTCGTTTTGTTGTATTAAGAATAAGTACTACTAAGTGAATTGGTAAAATAATGCATAAAATAGTGTTCCCAATGGGTCATTTAGCGCGCTGTAATGATACAGATAGAAGGACATTTAAAAAGCTAATTTATAAAGGCAATGCAAAAGATAAGTTAAGTTGAATCGTTGAATTCTTTAAAATAATGATTAGTAGTTACCTAAAACAAGAACACAAAAGAATAGCACGCAGTACGAAAGCCGCAATGACCCCATAACTGTTAAAAAGTCATTTGCATGAATGCAAGTAGGTCCCGTTTTAGGCGCCTATCAAGTCGCTTTTTTTTTTTTAATATTTGTAAGTACATAAAAAGTTGGATATAATGTACATAAAAATTAATTATGCGCTTGACGCCAAAAAAAAAAATCTCCCTAGACTGCAGAGCATGGGTGAATTTGAAGGGCGAGTTTTAAATAAGGCCCACAATAAAAGGAACACTCTTATATGGTCTGGCGGCTGAAAATTGCTCATGTTTAGATGAAAAAGACTTTAAATTCACATCAGGTAACCTACATATCCAAAATTGAGTCCCCATTTCACATTTGCAAAGAATAATAATGGTGAAGCAAGTATAATGGTATGGGCATATTCTCGTACTATAATGTTGGTACCATATCATAATGTAAACCCATACAGGATCAACATGTTCACCTTGATAGCTCAGAAATTGTGATGCAATTTTATTCGTAATACAAAACTAATTTATTTCCGAAGCTTTACCACGGTTATAACCCAAAAAAAATCAGTCAGAAAGTCGTACAAAGTTTTAAAACCCTTAAGCTAAATGGTATAATGGGGACCTTACAAGCCCCAGAACTAAAACACATCGAAAATCTTTGCAGAAATGTTAAAAACTATGTTTTTAATGCAAAACCGAAGAAAAAAAACTGCCCTCGAGCTATTTTGAAAGAGCCAGACAACAATTTTGCCAAGGGAAGATTCTGGTGTCTAGTGACGTCAAGGTCGGTCGTTGTTGTTGTTGTTGTTGCAGCCCAAGCTTTAGAACAATATTTTTTTACCTTAAGGTGTATGAAATCATACATTTCAATCAAAAAAAATTTTCAAATCGCGTTATTTTTAAGTTTTTTAAGTTTTTTATTTAAGTGGTGCTATTTTTGTTGCCGCATAACTTTGCTACTTTTTTGATAAATGTATCGAAATTTTAAAAACCATCCGCATTGTGGGCGTAACCACTTTTATTTTAGTTAGTAGATATGTAACCCTACTTACCCTTACAAACAGAATAAAAATATTGCAAAAAATTACCATTCTGTAGCACAAAGAAGAATTGCCTACACACTGGTGCTATTTTTGTTGCCGCAGCTGTATATGATAGTCGAGGTACATGACTATAGCGTTCTTCCTTGTTTTAAAATGGAAAACCAATAATGTGTAAAAGTACATCATAACATAATGAGCTCGTTAAACAATATTACCAAACATTTCTAATTTTTTGTATAATCTAAATATCACAATATATGAAATATTCCTTTTTCACCCAGCCATCTAAATTTAGGTTTTAAACCTTTTCCAAGCACTTACTCAATTCAAAAGCTTTAGTTCGCTTTCATTTAAGATGGAAAAAAAAACAAAGTAAAACAGAATCTTTATTTCTAAAATATTTGGTTTTTAGATTAAATTCATAAGACATTTACCTTTCATTTTGCCCATTCTGCAAATCAATAAAATAAAATAAAACAAAATTCAATGAATACAAATAAGCCCGTCTCAGACTTGTCTGCCTTTATTTTACGAATATGTCATAAAATTATGCACCTAACCACAAAAACCGAGGATGTTTGGCCCTGCGTAAATAAATATTTATAGGCTTTTAAATTTCGATCTGTGGCACTGGGTTTGTGTGGGCGCAGACGTTCCTTAATTTACTTAAAATTGAATAGAACTCGAGCCCTGCTGGGCATGTAAATTCTCTTTCAATTTTATTTCAATTCAGCATTTAAATTCAATTTAGACAGCACACCACACACACACAGCAACACACAGCAGACAGGACGAGAGGGGCATGCATATGGCGGCTTTAACTTAATCTGATTGTAATGCGATACACTTTACAGTTTGCAGATACAAATCAGCACCCACATCTCAGCTGCCATCCCAGCGTATCCTTTGCCCCCACACACAGACAGACTCACGCACAAACTCACTCACACACACGCACACACAGTCTCACAAAAGGACGAAGTCCTCCATCAACGCAGCTGTTGCTTCCATTGTTGTTGTTTCGGTTGATATTCTTGTTGCTGTTGTTCTACAGCTCGTGGGGGATTCGAGGACTCGCGCGTACAAATCAAATAAATTATCTGAGGATTTACAGTAATAAAGTAGTAGATAAACCAAGCCAAGCTGAAGCGGCACCATGGAACAATTGATGCACTGAAAGATAAATATTTATAATATTTTAGTTTATTTTCAATACCTTTTTTTTCAAAAACTATGAGTTTTACAACCTTTTGGTTGCAGAAAATCGTTCTATACTTTTAATAAATAAATTACATTTTCTTAAAATTAATTTTATTTTAATTTTTAAATCCCAGATTTATGTTATATATCAAAGTTTTTACATTACCTTCTAGTAATTTTAACTTTAAATTGAAAATTTCATGGAAATAACAAATATAACGTTCAAAGAAATTTTTTTTGCCTAACGAGAACTGGTTAATCAATTTTTAAAAATGTATAATATATGCAATAAGAAAACGTACCTTACTAAAAAAGAAGAATATTTATTAATCGAATTATTTTTAGGGAACCCGGAAATATAAATATTTTATGCAAATAGTTTTAAATAAACCTTAATTCGGTACAGAGCGAGGTGCTTTGGTATTCAACTTGAATGCTTTCTATAAATAAAGAAGGTCTTTTTTTTGGTGCATTTACAGAACCTTTTGAGGTCTAAGGAAATGAAAATTAAGTTCAGGGTTCACTAAGCCCACAATGAGTTGTTAATGGGGTGAAGGTCTACTCCCCGCAGGAATGCTACAGAGATGTGGGTGACTAGCCTTACATCGCTCTCCGATAAAATCAGTTGATACCCTTACCCAACACTTCCTCCTCAACATTCTCAGGCCTTATCAAACACTGTCCAGCAAGAAGGAAAGCCCCGTTGAAACGAAAAAAGTCATCTTCA